AGAATCACAGAAACACAGAATCACAGAAAAACAGAGTCACAGGATCACAGAATCACAGAAAAACAGTCACAGAATCACAGATTCATAGAAATCACAGAATCATAGCAACACAGAATCACAGAATCATAGAATCACAGAATCACAGAGCCACAGGATCACAGAGTCACAGAATAAGAGTCACGGAATCACAGAAACAGTATCACAGAATCATAGAAATCACAGAATCACAGAAATCACATAACCATAGAAACATAGAATCACAGAGAATCACAGAATCAGAGTCACAGAATCACAGAATCACAAAATCAGTCACAAAATCACACAGAATCAGAGTCACAGAATCACAAATCACAAAATCAGTCACAAAATCACACAGAATCACAGAATCAAAGTCACAAAATCACTGAATCACAAAATCACACAGACTCACAGAGAATTACAGAAACACAGAATCACAAAATCACAGAGTTACAGAATCACAGACTCAGAATCACAGAGAATCACAGAATCACAGAATCATTAGGGTTGAAAGAAACCTTCAAGATTTTTGATTCCAACCCATTCCCAACACCTGACCTAAACCACAGCACCAAGCATCACAAAGAGGTGCCTCTAGGAAGGAGTTTCCGTGTAGGAGAAGGGAGAAGGTTCATTGCTGTCTCACACATCAAACTGGGAGCTGCACAGAATCCTAAATKGTGCTATTTCTTTACTAGCTGAACTCATAAATACCTTTATTGCGTGCTRCATTTTAAACTACTGTACTTAGTCTACCACTAGTTTCTTTTATTTTATAACTAAAATATATATACATATCATATGTACTTGTCACAGACTCCTTACTCTGTCATTTTCTCGTGTCTAACAMACAATAATTMATTTTATTTTAGACCAAATTGACTATTATTAAAAAACTAAGGAACGAAACTGAGTCCTAAGGTGCTGGTTGCCCTGATAAGCTCACTGGCGGTTACCAAAGACCTAAACAAAAGGCAAAAATCCATCTAAACTGTCATCTCTGTAACAGCTTTAAGTTGGACCTCTCCACACAGAATTTCCTGTGGATAAATCCCCCATTCTCCTTCTCCACCCCCTGCAGGAGAGCAGCTCACATTTGGGAATGAGGATGTTGGCTCCGATGCAGAGTCCGGTGAGGATGAGGGTCCAAGCCTGGCTCTGGCGCCGCCCCACGCGATTCACCAGCACGTACATGACCATCTTGGCCGGGATCTCGATCACCCCAAACACAAACTGGGACAGGTAAATGTTCAGCCCAAAGCCCRTCAGGTTCATGCTCATGCCGTAGTAAGAGAAGGCAACGCCAAACCTGCGAGGAGCGGGCGGAG